ATATTTAAGGCAGCTATCAAGTTAGCACTAAGAATGTGCAAACAGTACCAGACAATAGCATTGAAGGGAATTTTGACAGTGGACAACACTTGACAAAAATTGGTGAGGGACATAATCCACGATGGAAATAGCCATTACTTAACAATAGTTAGTTGTCAACACACCATCATAAAGGTGGCAACTAACTCCCCAAAACTTATCAAACATTATGTTCTAGCTGAAGTATATGTTCTCCAAGTAAATTCTGCCACTTAAATTTCTCATGGTCAAAAACACAGTCTTCTACAACAAGGATTTCAGGATCTTTGTAGAAGGGTGAGGCATGCACCTGTATTTCAAATCCACACATGTACCTGCAGAAAATGGAATAGAATACTCTTATAGAAATATGAAAAAGTTGTCTCCAGAATATGATACCTCATCCAGGAAGGTGTATACAGGTATAACATGACTCCAAAATACAACATGTAGCATCCAACAGCACCTGTAAACATGGTCCATTCCTACAAAGTTCAGCTGAAGGGGACTAATATAAGATCAGCATTCAAGACAAAGAATGCAGTCATTAAGTAGGTGTCCTTGTCTAGGTAAAAACTCTACAAAGTTGGTGCACAAGCAAGTTCAAGATAGGACAACTAACTTGGATTATCAGTTAACATGCAATCCTTATAAATGGAACGTCTTGATATGCAAAAGGTTTTTTGGCTACTTCCTAGCATTGAATACACCAGCAAATGACAATAATTGCACACCATCTGAGAGCAAGTGGGGGATTGTAACAAATTCAAGCAAACTAGACAATCCTCTAGAAGTGGATGTGTCAGAAATTTAATTTCTGTATCTATCTTTCTATCGCTCTTACTTTCCTTCTTCCTCTTCTTTTCCCCCAGTGTGCAGTGTAAGAACTGCTGCTGCTGTGTCATGTGGCGAAATCATGTCTAACAATTGGTCGTACGTGATTTTCCTGCTTGTTTTCGACTAGATTAGAGGAATCTAGTCAGTAGTAGCAGAAAAGGGCGCCGCAGTGTGGAGATAAGTCGTCTTGTCTTGCGACGAAAAGAAACTTGCTTGAAGATCACTTGTTGCTCTGACAAGGAAAAGGGCGCCGCAGTGTGAAGACGATAAGTCGTCTTTTCTTGCAATGAAAAGAAAACTTGCTTGAAGATTCTGTTCCAGTAATCAAGTGGATTATTGTTCAGCTACCAAGGACAAGTCAGTAAAGACTTATCAAAAAATCAGTTAAAGTAATTATTGTAAAGAGAATTTTACAATAGAACATTCGCAAGGAAGTCTTCTTTCGACAATCGGGTTGAAGAGAGAAACAAGTCAGTCAAGCGGCTGAAAAGCTACCTTCCTTCGAGGAGTTATTTTGTCCTATTGGAGGACGAAATCCTGATGTAAAAAAAGTATATGAAAAAAAAAAAGATCTTCTAAGAAGTTGAATTTGTGTCGCAGAGAAAGTTTGAAAAAACAAGTCTGCATTTATTTTTAAAAGGAATCTTGCTTATCTTCCAAGGAGAGCAACTTAAAATGTCTAAAAAAAAACCTTTCTGCCCAGCTACTAAAAAAAAAATTACTAAAGCTTTTTTTTGAACTGTAAGTCTAATTTTTCCCCTCTTTCTGCTATCTCTCTACCTCTTTCACTCTCTCTGAACTGTTGTTGGAGTCCTTTTTAAGGGCTCGCCAAAGGGACGTTTTTGGCAGTTATTTTCAAGTTGTACCAGTGAACTTTAACATCAGACTATATTTCCCCCCCTCTCATTTTCTTTTTTTTCTTTTCCCACAATAAATTTTATAGCTATTTCAAGTGGTTTTTCCTTCTTCTTTATCTCGCTTGTTATGGTTGTATATTCATGGTTTTCAGGTCTCTGTTAACTGTGTTACGCGGGATTCCCATCATTGGACATAATGACAAAGTTTCCCAACCTTTTTTGCGCCGAGTTTGGCTGTTACTAAGCTAAATTTTGACAGATGATTCAACTGGAAATATAGTGAAAGCAGAAGCAAGTCCCCTACTACAAGAAGCACCCAACATGACAGGCTCTCTGCCCCTAGGCTATATTTGCTGTGATTAAGAGATCAGAGCATGTGTATAGCAAAGAATAGAGTAGTGACCTACTTTGTCAGTAAAAGTTCAAGCAGCCACATGTTACTTGTATTTTTTTGTCTGGATGCCATATTAGCACAAGAGAGAATGCAAGCATGAGTGGCACATCTAATTTGCATGCATTAGCAAATCACTTTGTTACATATGCAAATTGCTTCACCTATTATAAACACTGACATCAAGTGAGCAAGAAGCAGAAATCAATGCAGTACTGTGAGTTTACATCAGTTGGCAATACAAAAGACTGAAGATTGGAAACTACTGAACACCATTACAAATCACACCTTGTAAAATCTGTAATAATTATGATTAAGACTTGTCTTTTTTATAATAATATGCAAACTTTTTATATTTATTCATAAAAAATATCTGTTGTAGTTGCCTTTGTATATATTTTTCAGATGTGTGAGTGTTACTATATCTGCAGTTCTCAAATCATAATAAGGTTATGAAAACTTTTTGACTTGTGAATGTCCAATGATTAATTTGTCTTGCTTGTTTGTGAGACCTGTGATATTATCTCATATTTGTCATTTTTTTTTTTTCATAAATTCTTGTGAAGCTCAGAAATAGTTCTAAACCACATCACACAATCTTACCTTGCGAAACTGCATTACTTTGCCCAGCCATTATTCTATCATTTCTTCTGTTGTCTGGGTCATATGATTGCTGAATATCAATTTCTCTCCTTTGTAAAGTCTGCATCAGTGTTGAGAGTGGACAACACCTCTTTGTCCTGCCTTAGGCCTGTCTCAGTTGTGTTGGTTTCCTTTTTTTTTTTTTTTTTTTTTTTTTGCTTTGACTACTCTTCACTTCGATGTCTTCCTGCTGTTACTAAGCATTGAAAAGAAACATTTTTGTTGTTTAGTGGAAAGTGAGTATGGTCAGATCAAAGACTTTCTACAAGTATCAGTGTCCATAACTGGCATTTCACAGGATTCATCTTTTGTATCGCTACTGTTTTTACATTTTAGTCATTTGTTGTTTAAAGTGGTTGGCTTGTTCATAGGTCCATGCATTGGTTAATCAGAGCTTAGGACAATTACTTAATACAAAGATTTGAACCTGCTTGCCATGTAAGAAAAGTAGAGTATAATTATTTTTTTTCTTTTTAGCAAGTTTCCTCACCAACTAATATTTCTTTCTCTTGTTTTTTTTTTCCTACCTAATGTAACTGTAACTCATTTAGCAGTTGATTGAGATCTAATGTGTTAGGAATAAGTTAATTTTATCTCTGATTCATGTATTAGAAAAAGTTTTAGCTTCAAGACATACTTGGACTACAATTTATACTTCAAGAACACTTTTTTCCTTTGTACATATCAAACCTACAACAATGGAAATGAAATGAATATTCATTCAGTATTATGCTTGTATGTACCTTAAGTGTGTGTCTGTGAACATGATCTTTTTTCTCTCACTCACATGCACATCAGTATATAATCTGCTCTGTTGGGATTTTCTTCTATCTCTTAGGTCAACTTAATGCTTTTAGTCCAATTCTGTCCACTCATTCACTGATGCAATATTAATGAATATGAGACAGGAAAAAAAGTTAGAATGATTGAAACAGATTATTTAAAACTAAGGATTGTTTTTCAAGTAGGAAGACAGTTATTTTGTATCCAGACTTTTCGCAGGAACATTATTGAGCTCATTGTGAAAAATCTGTTCATTGTTTTTGCTTTAGAAATAATACAGGGAGGAGCTGAAAATTTTTTTGGGCCTCACCCACTTTCCAGAATCTGAACAAATGGCTGAACATTAGCATTAAAAAAAAAATTTCTTAATTGTACTAGGAACTTTTTAGCACTCTCTCATATATGTAGATTTGTAGATTTCATATGCCCACACATATTCATCTATGTGCCATGTGTCCTTCAGGACATAGGCAATAAAGGCTAGTAAGATTGTGAAAGACTTTTTAAAGAGCCATGCATAGAATAAAATTATTAGAATTAACATCATAATAGTTGAAGCTTGTGATTGTAGAATACCAGATACTGTAAATTCAGATGTATGTTGGTTGAATGGATAATGACTCAGAATAAGAAATCAGAGAGCCAAGTTCCAATTTCAGTTAGGTTCGTTATATTAACTTATGCATAAATATTCTCAGAAAATATATGAATTTACCTCTTCCCTCCCTTCCTCAGCTATGAGTTAAGTAGTAGTACTTGTGTCAGAAAATCATTACTATCTCCAAAATAAATTCTTACAATCCCCAAAAAATATATGTTTGCTTTAAATAACCTGAAAAAAGTTGATAAGTTAAAAAAAAAAAAAAAAAAAAAAAGAAAGAACAAATGAATGACCCAATAGAGATATTGATTTTATTTACCTGACCTCTCCACTAAGGTAGGATATAATGCAAGGCCTTTTTTTTTATCTGGGGTACATATGGAGCAAAGACAAAAATTTCCAAGTCTCTATGACCACTGTCATGCTGGCATCGATATTACACTAGTCCCACCTCTTTTAGTGCAATGAGGAAGGTGCTACTGCAGGGTAGATTTCTCCCATCCAAAATGAGGGATACTATATATTGAATCAAGCCTGAAGATATTTTAAGAAGAAAATGGGGGAAAAAAAATTCTTTTTTTTTGGTTTTGGTTTATGAACATCATTGGTCTTACTCCTAAAATAAAATTTTACTTCAGGAAACTATCACATTTAAAAAAGATTTTAAATTTGGATTACACATATTGGTCTTTCTGGACAGGTCACTTCTACATGACTGCAAAATATGACTAAAATAACAGGATGAATGGAATTTGATATAAGTGAAATATATGTTTTTGAAGATGTCATTTTAGAAAAATCAAAAAGTAGTTTAACTTGAAGATTAATGCTTGTTTCAGCTATTCTTATTTCCAATTTTTATATATTTCAGCTTCTAGAGCAAAACTGATGGCTTTTAACTCCTTATCGAAAATTCGTGGTCAAGCAAAGAGTTCAGCCTATCCACAACCGGAGGGCACATTGGGTGAAACTATGGTCAAATATGGAAAGGATCTCGGTGAAGACCGGTTTGGTAAGAATATATTTGTATTTAGTTATTTTTTATAAATATACTACTTTTGGTGTTTTAAAAAAGAAACAAAAAAAACTTATGATTTTCAAGGGTTTCACTTGGTCAACCAGTTAAATGTCTGGATCATAATTTTATTTTCAGGTACTTTTTTTTACTATTTGAGATAAATAGATTAATAAATATACAGCTCATGAAAAAAAAGGAGTTATTTGATATTAAAACTATTTGTCAGTGTAATCTATTGATTTCTATGTTTTACACCAAAATACCCATTATTAAGCCAGATAAAATATGTAAAAACCAGATACAGAAAACAACTCTTAGAATTTGTTTTTCTTACAGCTCAGATAAAAAGTTTTTCAAATCTATCTGAGCTCTGATTTTGATTCTGTTTGTGATTTGTCCTATGTTTTAAAATTTTGATCCAATATTGTTTTCCAATATGCATTTGATAAAGTATGTAAGAACCGTTGGAAATGCTAGTTAACTGTTATGTGCTTCGTAGCTCTTATAATATAAGTAATGCTTCAGCTACTTGTTGTGACACCTGTATTAATTGGTCTGAAGACTGACTCCAAATGGCTTCTTTTTTCCTACTTCTAAGCTGGAGCTCTTTATTTATAGTTATGGATTAGTTCATATAGTCATCAGGGATATTTACTCCCCCCCCCCAAACCTTTGAGATTAATACTTTTTATAAATATTTTATTAGTATCTCCTCCTCCTCTTTCTGGAGAATTCACCAATGTATTTGACTTTATAGTATTTGTCTTGGATCTGCTTCCAGTTCTTCAGTACACTTTCTTTTCTGGAACTTGTCCTTGTAGGTTACACATCTTGTTTTAGGTCTTTCATTGATGAACCTTCTTTTCAGCTGACTATAGTGTCTTTTATGTTCAAATTTTTCCCTTTTACTGTGTAAATCAACTTCCTGATTCTCACTGATATTATGCTGTTTCCCACATTTTTTGCCACCCTTATATGCTCTAAAAAATACTTTATCACCAAGCTTGAAACTTTTTGGTGTTGTTTTTGTTATTTGTTTGTGTTTTTCAACTTTGTAATAACTTGTTGAACACTGATTTTACTTTTCTAGCAAACATTAATTCCACTGGTAACATGCCTGATGGTGACATTGGCGTTGGGTGTTACACAGTAAACTCTCAGAGAATTTTGAAGTGCTTCCTCATTTACTTTCTCAAGACTTACTTTCTTCAATGCTCTTTTGAATGTTGTCTGTTTGACCTTGGATGATATGGCAGGGTCGTAATATGCTCAATGGAGAACATCTTATAAGTTGGTAGGCCTCTGTTGGTCAGGGTTGATCATGGGTAGCATCCTAGTTGTCTGCTTAGCTGGAGCATTGACGTCTGTGAATGTAGAGGCTGATGCAGGAGTGACAATCTCTCTTGCAGAGGTCATGTGTGTTCTGTCTCTGGTCTGTTGGAGCTCTCACTTTGCTTTCTGTAGGCCCGCTTTTCTGTGGCGACTTGTCAGCTTTTTCTCCCTTGACTTGAGGTGTTTAGTCAGGGTGGCTCTCCATTTGGATCATATGGCTGCCAGGCTCTCTCAGAACTCTGTTTTGATGTCCACAGCTTCCATGTTGTGCTTCACAACATTGCTGTACCACAGCTGTGACTGTCCAGCTGTGACTCTCCTTCCAGAAGCAAGCTCGCCATACAGGAAGTCTTTGGAGATGCGGCCATCTGGCATGCAATGGACATGGCCTAACCAATGGAGCCTATACTGTCTGAGCAGTGTGAACATGGTGGGCAGACCTGCTTAAGACAGGCACCTTGTCTTGTCAGGATGCAGTGGATGCTTCTCATGTGAAAGGTGTTCAGATGCCTTTCTTGCTTAGCGTACATGGTGCTGATAATGTAGGCATTGTACACTGCCATCTTGGACTTCACCGACAGCTTAGGATTGGTCCACACACATGTTGTGAGGTGTGCAAGGGTTGTGACTGCCTTCAGGATTCTCTTGTCAATCTTTGCATCTAAGGAGAAGTTGTCAGTGATGGTTGAACTGAAGTACGTGAACTGATGCACTGCATTGAGCTCATAGTCATCAATGGTGATGGCTGGTGGTGTTTCAGTACCTTGTTCCAGTACATTTGTCTTTTTCAGGCTGATGGTCAGCCTCAAGTCTCTGCAGGCCTGAGAGAAATGTTTCATCAGAGACTGCAGTTCACACTGGATTTGTGTCACTACCACTGCATCGTCAGTAAAAAGTATGTCTCTGACAAAGGCCTCACATACTTTGGTCCCGGCTCTGAGGTGGGCGAGATTGAACAGCGTGCTATCTGATCTCATACACAGGTAAATCCCTTCTCTTGATGTGCCGAATGCATGCTTCAGAAGCAGAGCAAAGAAAATCCCAAAGAGAGTGGGAGCAAGGATGCAGCCCTGTTTGATCCCACTGTAGATGTTGAAAGACTCAGGATTGTATACAAATTCTGATATGGTGTTTTGGACAGCGTCTGGTATAAGAGATGTTGAAGAATTTCATTTTTTCTTCAGAAGTATAACCAACAATTCCTGTTGCTGTTTTTGTAGTTTTAGCAACTGTTGATTTTGTTCTTGTTTCTGTTGTTGAATTTCAACTATTAAAACCAAAGTTTGCTCCATATTCACAAGAATGATTTTTTTTCCTACACCCAAGAGAAAAATTTTTTTTTCTTTTACAACAAGAAAAAAAAAAAAAATTTAAACCAATGTGGTTAAAATTCTTACCACTTGTATCCTTGTTCCCAAAGCAACAAGTATTTTCTTCTGTATTTGTTCACTGAATATGAGTTTCCAAAATCCTTGTAACTCCAGTTACAACTTTTATGAGTTCTTGAATTCTCATTACTGTTATAAGTCACAAGAGTTCCAAATCCTCATCTCAATGGCTATAAATTGCCTGAGTTTCGAATCCCTCATCCCCACTATTATAACATGCCTTGTAGTGCTTATAATATAAGTAATGCTTATGCTGCTTGCCGTGACGGTTGTATTAATTAGTCTGAAGACTGATTCCAAACTGCTTCTTTTTTCCCTACCTCTAATCTGGAGCTCATTGTTTATAGTTTTGGTCTAGTTCATATAGTCACCGGGGTGTATTATTTACTCCACAACAGTAACCTTGAAATATTTGAGAAGGATATTAGAATAATCAAGAGCCTATACTGGCAGTAAACCGCCTGCATATGGATAGAAAATGAATTCAGTAAACATACAAAAATAGAAAGTTGTGTAAGACAAGGATGTGTCTTCTCACTGGACTTATTCAACCTATATGGTGAAGCTGTTCTGAGAGATTTAGAAAATCCTACTGGGATTCATTGATGGCCACAATCTTGACATCATAATATATACAGAAAGGAACCTGTGAGAACTCTGACCAAAGTTAGTGAAGGTAATCGAAAAAAGGACTAAACATCAATGGCAAGAAGATAGAATGCATAGTTGTTAGCAAAACATGCAAATTACAATTTGGATATACCAAAATCAAACAAGTACAAAAATTTATATATCTAGGTATTGTTTTAACAGAGTGTGATACTGAAATCTGAAGGAACATTAGGATATTGAAAGATGCTTTCCAAAAGATAAGCAAGAAATGGAAAAATTTCTTTAAAAACAAAGAGGAATATGGCAGTGTGAATGCAGGACAATCTCTTCACAGATGAAGAAGAGACTTCAAGCAACAGAAATGTTCTATAGAAGGATGCTGAGACTACCATGGACTGACCATGTGGGTAATAAAGTTTTAGAGAAAATAGAAACGAAAATGGCACTTAAACTTGACATCAGAAAGAGGTAGTTGAAATTTCTTGGGCACATAATGAGGAAAGAGGGCTTGAAAAATTTGATACTCACAGGGCATATTGAAGGCATAAGAATATAAGAGGAAATCAACATATAAGCTACCTAGCAAGCTTGATTAAATGGATGGCAGAAGAGGAGAGATAATAAAAAGGCAATATTTATTAAGAGCTAAAAAGAACTGTTTTGCTCACCAACTGCAAATTCTTTAACATTTCTAATAAAATATTTTCACCTTTTGAATTAGAATCTAAATTAAGCTTAGTGTACATGTTTTCGGCTAGTAATGTTCCTTGTAAATGTTTACTCTTTTTGTATTTTTAGATTTCTAAACTTTCAACATAATTATTGATTTTGTCTAAGCCAGAGTTAAGAAAAAAAAACTGAAACAAACCTTTTTTTTGCTAAATCCTTTTTTATTTTTTTTATTTTTAACCTGTTCAACCAGTGAAATATCATTTTATATATTGTTAGTCAGACTTTTCTTGACTCATCACTAGTTTGGTTTAAAAGTGTTTATATAAAAAATCATTTTTCAGATGAATGTTCTTTGAATATGGGGAAAAATATACACACTCACATTTGTCCTACATTATTTACCTCTGTTAAACTTATTTAGTTGTTAAAAAAATTAATGTTTGCTGGAATGAGAATAAATGATTGTTTAAGTCAACAGTTACCATAGTACTTACTGCAGTAATTACCGTATATATTTGTGTATCATGCGATATTTGAAGACCTAATTTTGAAGCTAATTTGACTATAGTAAATGGATATGTAATTTGGTCAGTGGCATAGCCAGGGCCAGCAGTATATATACTAATTTTATATATCATGTATAATGCAACCCCCTTAAAATTAGCTTCAAAATTGGGTCTTCAAAAGTCACATGATATGCAACTATATACACTAACTTAATTATTATTATTGTTGTTATTTTTTTTTTTTTTTTTTTGCACAGTGGTTATTCATGGAAAAGTTGGTAATGATCAATTTCTTCAGAATTTAGACATTTTCAGAAGATATCTGTTTATCAGATTTTGAAATGTATATTTTTTCAATAACCCTCGACCAAAATAAGATGGTTTATACCCAAATTCCAGAGATTAACTTTGATATAAAAGTTGACAAAGGGCAAGTGCAGATTTATAATAGTTCTATTGCAGCAGTCAAGAAAGAATAGAAAAA